TAATGTTTTTTTTCCCCCTTTCTTTTAATTTAGATAAAATGACAAAAGGAAAAGCGCTTTGTAATGTTTACCAACGAATACGTTACTTCGATGAACCATTTGCGTATATTTGCGCAAATCATCAAGTGGAAAATTACTGCTCATATTGCTTGAGAAAACCGGATAAATGCAAACTTTACAAGTGTTCAAAATGTAAATTAGCAAGATATTGCAATAAGGTGCTATTATATGTTCTTTCTTTTACGTTAACCTTTAACCTCATTGATGATGTATAGCTATTATATATAATTATTTTCAAAATTTCATTAAATTCAAAGAAAAGAAATTTTTTTTTTTCCAATCGTTGGTCGACAATGATAATTCTAATTGTTGCAATTTTTCTGTAGATTTCATTCGATTTACCGGATTTTTATGTGCGAAAAAAAAGTGATTTTTTTTTTTTTTTAAAATGTAAAGGAATGTCAATGTTTGGCATGGAAAAAGCTTCATCGTGCCGAATGTAAACGATTAGAAGCGGTCTTTCCAAATTTACCACTTTCTGAGGTGTTATTTTTGAGTCGAATAATCGATAAAGTATTATTCATAGAACAAAATGGTGACAAATATAAATGGGAAAAAGATAGGAAATGGGTTGATTTAATGGGCCATCAGGAGGATATTCGAAATGATCAGGTAATGAAATTTAATTTTTAAAATTCGAAAATATTGACCATATAACTGAATAATTTTTTAGGAAATAAAAGAAAAAAATTTTAGTTGTAGCAAAAAGCAAATTTGTGATGGAAATAAAGGAATTAATTTAAAAAATAAGTTGAAAAAAGAAAAAGGAGAAAATTTAATGAAAATTCGTGCATTTTTACAGCTTAAATATGCTCATTTCGAAAAAATTTACGGCAAAATGGCAACATTTCGAAAGGACGAAATGATTGAAAAGGAGAAATTTTATGAAATTTTTTGCAAAACAACAATTAATTCACATTCAATACATACCAATGCTGGCGATGAAATTGGTTTAGCACTTGATTTAGGTCATTTATTTGTTTTTGTCTTTTTTTTTAATTTTAAATTCAGAAATTGGTTTCAGAATTAGTTCGGATCAGTCTAAAAATTAGTTTCAGAATTAGTTTCCAAGAATTAACTTCAAGAAATTAATTCTTGGACTAATTGTTCTGAAATATTAGTTGCTTAAATTAATTCATCACATTTAAATTCTTCCATGCTGACTTATTATTTATCATTGAATAAAATATTTTTTTTTCCATTCCAATTTCAAGTTGCTAAATTACCTAATGATAAAAAGTATCAGAAATGTAAAAATTCAGCTTTTTCAATGTATTTTAATCAATTTTTTAAAAAATGCATTTTAATTTAAGAGCAAGAAAATTTGTAACATCAGTGATAAGGGAGAGAAAAAGTGCGTGCATGTGTGTGTATGTGTGTGTGTGTATGTGTGTGTGTGT